TCTTTTGGCCAATTAAGATTTTCTCCTTGGTAATAAGTTTTTAATTGAATTGAAAACAGAAGAGTAATACATCATAAAAATTTGCAGAAACCATGGCTTCTTCGATGATCATTAAGAACATGGCTTTCTGCAACTGCGTGGTCCACGACACGATGATTTCCTCATTACATTTCCAATTCAATAATGAAATTTCCCGTAACAATAACCATAAATCCATAAAAGGCATAAAGAGAAAAATAAGGAAAACCCCAATAAATATTAACAACCGCGCATATCTCCCTGGGCTGGGAGATAGTTTGATAACTGGCGGCCAAAAAGCGCAGCCCTAAATCAAGATTACGAATCTTCTTCTTGGCAATGAGTGTTTCTAGAACTTAATGAACGAACCGTTGATCCATTCTGATTGTTTATACATGTCATTTTTTTGAACTACTTTTTCAGATTTTCTTGCCTGCACATTTTCTCTTTTGTGGGACGTTCCTCATGGTTTGGGATCTTGGACAGTCCTGCTTGGAAGGGTCTTGGCTTTTTCCTCTTGTGAAACGAACAATCTGGTTGTTTTAATGAACATCACATCTTCTGCTGTTACACATTGTGGTGCCAACATTTAGGGTTAGCAACAAACTACCTGGGAAGGAGTGAACCCAATAAGGGTTCATCAAGCACGGGTTTCCCACACATAGGATATACCATGTAAAGGGTTTCCCCAAAATATAAGGGTTTAATAACCAATCGAGGGTCCAGGACTGAGGTCCTAACGGCTGCTGTAAACATTTGCTGGCTCGTGTACTGGTGAATTTCAGCTTGTTGTACTGGCCACCAGAGATGCATTCCCACTGGGAATTTTTCTCCTCCTGAGCCACTTTCCTTGTTTGTGCATCGGCCTGCCCTGGATTAATTCATCTGCGATTGATCACGTGACTTGATCCTCGGGTAAACTGTCCTCCCAAACTTGAACCATTTTTGGCAACGCAATTACCTAAAATGGCTAGTTTCTTTTTTTCAACTCTTTTTTGGCTTGGCTTAATAAAAGAGAATGAGCATTCCTTATAATAGATGCAAATTGCCAATTTTGGAATTCGGTAATTAGAAATGCTTCTAGCTTTAGGTCCATGTTAAATATTTTAAGTGACGCTGAAATGTGACTACAAATTACGGCACTGCCACCCATGTACTCTTCCTGCAATGAATGGATACGCCTCCATTGGTTTCCAAACAACACCAACTGCAAGCCATGTTTGCAGAATCTCTCTCTGTGGTGCCAAGAAACCAACCATTCCTTTCTCTTTTTCTGGTTCTTTCCCGAAACCCTTCTGTAGATTGTTCTTTGCATTTGTCTTTTAAGATACAGAGAATGGCATTGCCACATAAATTCAATTGCTGTCAGCTAATGCCATTAACTCTTCAACTATCCAATCTACACTGTTCAAAAGATATATAGACAACAGAACCAATGGCTTTTGTCTATCGAGCCATGAAATAACAACGATGCAGGAAGCTTGAACTACTTATCATTCTCCTGTGTAATCGATGACAGTTTAAGCAACCTATTTAGAGTAGTTCTTAACTTTTGATTTTAGATAAGTATCTGTAGAGGAATTTGGGTTTTAGTTCGTTCCAATAGGTATTCAACAAAAGAGGCTTTTGCTATGTGGTATGTTTTTGTGCATAGCGATATAAATATAGGCACAAAGTTTCATTACTTGGCTTGCTTAAATGTATTTCATGGGGTAATCCTTTAAAGGTAAGGAAGAATAATCCAGGAATAACATCTACATGATATTTTTCGCTTTTAAGCATTAGCGAAAGCCTTTTGAATTTTATATTCCATCTCAAAATAGCAAACAGATCATTTGGAATGAAGGTACCGTAAAGGCTATCCATGGAACAGTTTCATATCCTCCGCCATTTTTTCCAAGCGGAGAACAGATAAAGCAATCCGTCATTATGCAAGTAACTTCCCGCCGGCTTACGGTTGTTCTCTCGGTGTCCCGCCAGCACTTTTCAAATGCGGCGTTCGAAGTTGTACGGTAACCGTTCGATCGAAAATGCCTGAATTCTTCGCCATGACTCTATTGTCCATAGTTTAACTCCTTTTTGAATCCTAATCGTCTACATCGTAAGGATCAGGTTGGTTGGTACGAAAGAAGGTCTTTTGAGATGAGCCTTGATAATGGTTGGTTTTTGCTTAAGCTTGAGGAAGGAATGAATTTGAAGGAGCTCTGTTTGCTAATTGACGTGCTAAGTTGAAGAAAGTCAAGAGATGGCTACTCAATGGCCAAGATGATTTGGCTAGTGGTGATGAGCATTTGGGCTAGTGGCATTTTCTGAAGAGAGATTTCCTTTTTTTTTTTTCTTTTTTTTTTGTTTTTTTGGTTCCTCTTGGTTTCTTCTCAGTTTTGTATCTTTTTTTGGCCAAATGGTGTTGATTGAGTTTTTTTAGAGGGAGTCTCTAATAACTTGACTTTCTTCAACCGGTAGCGTTTATCAAATTTACTAGGCAAAAATGAACTTAGTCGTTACTAAACTTCAGGCATGCTAAAAACTATACCAGCAATTTACTGCATGATTAATATATACTAAAAATTTTGTGTTTATTCTGGTTGGGTTTTTCTCGTACTTGTAGGCAACAACGTGGGAGTGGAAAGTTTAGTCTTTGAGTCCTCAACATTGCAAAAAGTTTATAGCATATTGGTGAAAATTTTTCAAAGCGAATGAACTACCCATACTATCTTGTCACAATATTATTTTTTCAGTTCATTGAGCTCGCTCAGTTTAAAAACAAAAATTGTTCTAGAATCTAACAAGTTTTGCTGATGTTTTGAAAGTTTTTAATAATCCCTTTTTTTATTGAAATCAACTTTGTCTTGGTACTTATGATAGGGCATCAGAACATGTCAACCAATTGAATTGAATCTTTTGGTAAGACCCATGGTAGTAAAGTATTATTTTTTAAAAAAAAAGAAGAAGATTTATACTGATTCATTTGAGTTTGAAATAATATAAAAAATTTATTATTAATGTTTAACCCATAAGATGAAAATGTGTAATATGAGCTTTGGCTTGAGTTTAGATTAATCATATAAAGGTTAATACTGAACCAATTAGCTAGCTAGTTGATATTTACTCACGTGATGATTCTAGAAAAATTCTATATAAATAGACGAGACTCAGCCATAAAGGACGGATTCCATTCATCTGTATATTTCCATCTTTTGTTCTATTATTTTCTCTTTCTCCAAGACTTTGAGTATTCAAGATTTGTGTTCCAGATTCAAGGAAGCGCCTAAACAATCATTAACTAGTTTTTTATTTTAAACTCTTTTTTCTTGTTTTATTTTTCCTATATTCTGTTGATTAATGAGCAATATTGTCAACTTAAAATTGATTTTAATTTATTACTATGTTGAACTAAAAAAACTTTCAATACTATAGATTCTTGGGATATATACTTAATTTTGATTCAATTTATAGATATTATATTTCTATGCTTTTTCTTGTTCATGATATAAGTTTATTATTGAACTTAATGCTTCCCAGACAAATTCTTTTCCTGGATTGATTTATTTCTTAACTATCACACTATCAGGAGAAGGGTTTTTCTTATATGAATAGGAGTAATAAATTATATGGATAATAACTTGATGCGGAAAAGCTTCATATGGTTTGACTGCATGGGGGGTTTTTTCATAAGTTTAAATGAACCTTAGGTTAATGAATTCATAAACAACCATGAAAAACTTAAAGTGATTTTTAAATTCATGTTTTGATTGCGCCTATTAAAAGATCAAGTAATTAGACCGGGTTAAAAATAGCCTGAACAATATATCGGGATAGTTTCCCCTACTTGAAAAATGTAAAATTGATTATCAAAAACTATAATAAATTAGATAGTACTTAAGTTAAGTCATATTCCTATGTAGCTGTTAAATCAATTGATTTTTTATTTCGTCAAATATTGTTTGCTTGATTATTTTTTGTTCTCTTTTTTATTTTGTTTAATTCTAATTTTTTAAAATAAATCACCGCTTTATTTGGCCGTTTAACATAATAATAGAATTAAACATATTTTTGGGTACTGTGATAAATAATTTTCACATGAAAAGTGAATACCAACCTCACTCATTTTATATTACTTTATTACGATTTTTTCATATACTTGCAAAAAATCTCTCCGACGTCTTGTATATTGACTTTTGGTATTAAAACAAATATATTTTAATTAAGAGTTGGGAATTTCCTAATTAATGGTGAATTTTAGTTGTATGTTTGACTAAAACAACCTTATTTCCATGCCAACAAACAAATAAAATGCTTGGATCCATACCTTCTTTACAACCGTCAGTCATCTGTCCACATCTTTTTGATACTAAATTAAAACTCGCCCTTTAGCATTAATTAATTTATTTACTTTATACCCTATTTAGACAATGACTCACAAAACGGGTTTATCAATTTTAATCCTACCAACTTAATTAATTACTGCAGAAATCGGGTTCTAAGCACCTTTTTTCTTTTTAAAAATTTTGACTTTGGGTTTTTTTTTTCATGTTATAGTCGGCAAATTCCAAATCATGGTTAAGTCCACTAAGGAACGGAGGTTGAGAAAGTTAGCTACTACAGAATTATAGATCCCGTCTATAAAATGCAATCCATACCATTTCAAACAAGAACAAAAACTAAGAGCGAAAACCAAAAAGGAAAAGACCAAAAAAATAAAAAAAAAATCTTCCTTTCTTATTTCCCTAATCTCTCTTCACAAATGCCATTAACACAAAGCTCAATCCACCACCAATTGCAGGCAAGTCATGTAGCTGTGTGCACATGGCCATTTAGTAGCCATCTATGAGCTTTCTTCTTCAACTTAAGTTCGGTAAATTTAGGCCACAGAAGCGTCTCAAACTCAGTTTTCTTTCTCAGCGTTACCGAAACAAACTCCAATTATATAGTATCTCAAAAGAACCTCTTCAGCCAAACTCATGTCTATACGACGTAGAACGATGGCCATTCCGGAAGGAGTTAATCACTTACAAATAGATCATGCCGTGAAAGTCCCATTTCCTCAAACAGTTACGCGTACAACTTCGGAGTTACCGTACAACTTCGAACGCCGCATTGAAGAAGTGCTGGCGGACACCGAGAGAACAACCGGTAGCCGGCGGGAAGTTACCTGCATAATGACGGATGCTGCTATCTGTTCTCCGCTTGGAAAAATGGCGGAGGATATGAATGTTCCATGGATAGCCTTTATGCTAGCTCCTCCAAATGATCTTCTTTGCTTTTTTGAAATGGATAAAATTCAAAAGCTTTTCGCTAATGCTAAAAGCGAAAATGATAATGTAGATGTTATTCCTGGATTATCTTCTCTACCCTTTAAAGATTTGCCCCATGAAATACATTTAAGCAAGCCAAGTAATGAAATTGTGCCATATTTATATCGTATGGCACAAAAACTACCACAAGCAAAAGCTCTTTTGTTGAATACCTATGAAGAACTAAACCCAATTCCTCTCACAAATTATCTAAAATCAAAAGTTAAGAATATCTAAAATTAAGAGTTAAGAACTTACTCTACATTGGTTGCTCAACTTTATCGATTACACAGGAGAATGATGGTAGTTCTACTTCTACAGGTTGTTTATTTTCATGGCTCGATAGACAAAAAGTTAGTTCTGTTGTCTATATATCTTTTGGAACAGTTGTAGAATTGGGTAGTGAAGAGTTAATGGCACTAGCGGAAGCAATTGAATATAGCGGTAAGCCATTTCTCTGGTCTCTTAAAGACAAGACAATGCAAAGAAAATTTCCAGAGGTTTCTTGAAAAGAACAAAAGAGAATGGAATGGGTGGGTGTTCTGGGCACCAACAGAGAGAGATCTGAGACATGGTTCGTGGTGTGTTTGTAAACCATGGTGGGTATAATATTCTAATGTGGGAGAGTATATGGGCGAGTGCCAATGATTTGTAGGTAGTTTGGGCAGATAATATATAAATGCAAAAGTTGCAGAGGAGGTGTGGGGGTTGCTGTGAGAGTTGAAGGTAGGGTTAGTTACTAAAAGTGGAATTGTTAAGTTGGTTGGAAAATGGTTTTTGAAGCATTTTTGAGCAGGAAAAAGCGAAGAAAATGAGACAGGCTTGTAATGAACTTAGACAAGTTTTGATCGAAGCTGATGGTCCTGATGGTGTTGCTGCTAAGAATCGAAAGACTCTGTTGCACTTAATCAGTGGCTAAAGATCTTATTTTATATGTGCATATATATATAGTGCTATATAAATAAATAAACAGAGGTCCATGGTTGCTACTTAAGATATGTGCCTCATGCAAATATTTTTCATATGCAATTTTTATACGTAATGTAAGCAAGCTTGTGTAAGTTTCTTGAGAAAATTCGGATAAATTTTATTTTGAATACTTTTTTTTTGAAAGGGAATTTTTTTGAATACTTATACAAGATAAAGAAAATTAATCAACTTTGCAAATGAATACAAAAAATTAAATTAATTTTAAATTTTATTATTTTTGTTAATTACAATTATAAACCAAACTGAAAAATTAAAAACTGAAGTTGCTTTTTTTTTTTTTTTTAAACCAAACTGCAACTAAACTATATATGAAATTAAATTAAACCAGTTGATTTCCATTCAAAAAAAAAATAAAAAATAAACCAGTTGATTGATTCAATTTCAACAAATTAACTTAACCAAACTAAAAACTGAAATCTAAATCATTGAAATTATAAATTGAAACCAAATCGATTAATAAAAACTAAATTAGATCAATTTCACTACAAAAAAAAAAAAAAAAAAAAAAAAAAAAAAACGCCGAATTGCGACCAATTTTTGCGACCGACTGAAATCAGTCGCAATTTTGCAACCGATTTGCGACCTATAGACAAATAGTCGCAGATTTTAGCACTGAAAATTCTCGCGAGTTTGGTTTTCAGTTTGCGATCCTTGTACTATGGATTTTGCGACCAATTTGCGACTACGTATTTTTCCGTCGCAAAATTGCGCGCTTCAAAATTAGGAATAAGTTCTGAGACCGATTATTTGCGACATAATTGCGACCGATTATTTGCGACCAACATTTGGAGTCTCAAATCGGTTGCAATTTTGTCTCGAAGTAAAACGACGTCGCAGAATAAAAATTTGCGATCGATTAGTCGGTCGCAAAATTTAGGGCTTTAAACGTCAGACGCCCTCCTTTTTCTTTCTTCTTCTTTCTTCTTCTTTCTTTCTTCTCCTTCTTCTCCTCTCCTCTCCTCGTCCGCAGCACCGCACTCCAAGCCCTCTGACATGACGCTCCTAACGCCCGCCTGACGCGCACCAAAGTGGCCGCTTCCACTCGACTCACTCACGGCGGCCGAATTCCGTCGCTTACACCGTTTTGAGGTAATTAGTTTTTGCAATTTATTTTTATTTCGATTTTTTTTTTTTATAATTTTTTTGCGATTTATGTGCTTTTTTGCAATTTATATTATTGTTACTGTTTATATTATTTAATGATTATTATTATTATTTATTATTATTATTTATTTATTATAATGATTATTGTTAAGTTGTTGTATTATTATTATTATTATGTATTATTTGTATTAAATATTGTTGCTGTTAATTAATTATTATATTATTTATTATTTTATTATTATTTAATTATTATTAAATCCTTATTATTATTGATATTATTATAATTATTAATATTTATTATTATTAATTATTATTATTATTATTGTTAGTTTATAATATATTTTTATTAATATTGTTCTTGTTTTTGTTGTTGTTTGTTGGTATTATTATTATTAATTATTATTATGTATTATTATGTTATTGTTATTGTTAATTAAATTGCTACTGTTATTATTATTTATTTATATTATTATTAATATTAATTAATTGGTATTAAATTGTTTACTTGTTATATTATTATTGATTATTATTATTTATTATTATTATATTATTTGTTATAATTATTATTATTATTAATATTGTTATTGTTTATTATTTGAAAATTAATATTGTTATTGTTGTTGATTATTAATTATTATTATTATTATTGTTGTTGTTGTTGTTTGTTATTATGATTATTATTATTATTATTGTTATTGTTATTGTTATTGTTATTGTTATTATTATTATTATTATTTTATGTATATTTTTCGTGACCAAGGAATTAAAATCAAATTTAAAAAGATTTAATGTTAAACACTGAAAATCAAATCAAGAGTAATATTCAAATAAAAGTGGCAATATGCTGTATATTAGAAAATGACATGCAAAATACTGAAATTGTTTATTTATTAATTTAATTATAATTTTTAGTCCTGTATATGATTCATTATAATCACAGAATTACAAGTTTGATCATGCAAATAAATAATTTTAATTTAATTATTATAATAATTATGATTTAGTTTAAGTATGAGAGAAGCATGCAATAGTAGCTGGAACGGCACGGCACGTCGTGGGAAACGAAATTTTAGCACCATATAATTACTTGTAGGGATTATTTAATATATAGTTTGAGATTAATTTAGATTTAAGGTAATAAATAATGCACCTAGCTAGCTACCTATATTACCTTAAAGGGTTGACTATTATTAGCTAGAGAATAGAGAGATCTGTAATGCTTAGATCATAAAAATAGACTTTAGTGTTATTTATCAATTATTCTAATGATAAATTTATATTTTTTAGACTTGATTGATTTCTAATTATCTGTGTAGAGAGAAAAAACACTGGGCATCATACAGTAACATGACATCATCTCATCTCATCTTATATAGCCAATTTAATTTAAATTATTTTAGCGCTTTAATAGCTGAAATTGAAATCTGAAAAAGGCTATACTTTAATGCATGTAGTTCTTAATATTATTTCAACTACGAAGTTTCTTTAATCTAGAACCCACCTGGCTTTAATAAATTTTAAAAAAATATAATAGTATATTTTGACAGGAAATAAGGAATTTTTTTCCTATGGTCAAAACCCAAGGGTGTGGTTAAGCTTAAAGATGTTCAAAATTTTCAATGAAGGGTGGGTATTAGTTCAGATAAGGTTAAAAGTCTAACACAAACTTCTTTTATGTGTTTAGACTTTTTTTTTTATTATTATTTTATTTTAATGGTTTCAGCTAATATGTGCTCAATGCTCATTGGGTTTTGTGGGCTACTTTAACCAGCAAAATTTCAATTTTTTTTATTTTTTTATTTGGGATTTACTAATTTGAAATCATTCAAGTTCTGTGAGTGAAACTGTTGCATAGTTTATTATTGGTTTGACTTTCAACATGGTTAGTGGCAACAACACTTGATGGTGGAGGATTCTCTTCCTTTTGGTCATGATGAATGGGAGATTATGATTATGAGAAATTTTATTTATGGAGAAAGAGAGAACATGTGATAACCCTAATTTCAGTTCAAATTGAACTGAAATTGAAATTGTTAGTTCTCATTCAATTTTCTAATTTAAGAAATCGGAACCATATTTATTGAAAATTGACATATTTTAAATCAGTGTTTAACATTAAATCTTTTTAAATTATTAAATCTTTTTAAATTGACTTACACATGAATTCAAACTCTTGATTTTAATTTCTAAGATTACGATCTAATCTAAATTTGACCACTTATTGTATGTTTTCCGTGACCACTTATTATTATTCTAAGATTACAATCTATTCTTTATTTTATACTACAGCTCGGGAGCGTCTTATTTCTTCTCAGACTGATGAATCTGAAGCTGAGTCAAGAATTGATGAGGTCGAGGCTGTAGGGGGCGAGAAGAAGAGGAAGGTATACGGCATCGGGTCTCAGACATCACAGCTTTACTGCGGCTCAGCAGCTCACGCTTTTACAGTCAGCGCAGGACCACAGCCTGAGCACACTGCCGAGCAGTTTACTAAATTATGGGCTAGTGTTGATGATCAGCAGAGGCAGATTGCAGAGCTTAGAGCGCATGTGATGCAGCTGTCCGGTGAGCCCGGTGCTAGTACTTCTTCCTCTAATCCTGCGCCTGCTTGCGCCTGCTACAGATCGAAATGTTTCGACGTCTCAGCAGCAGCCACTACTGACTTCTGATCCCGATGCTGCAGACTATACCTTGGTCACCCCTCCTGGAACTACAGCACATCCAGCAGATACTTCTCCCGACGATCCGACATCGGATCGTGCAGATGAGCAGCCGCGTAGATTTGATTTTGGACCTTTTTAGTTTTTTATTTGTACTTTGATATTTTGTTCAGTACAATAAAAATTACATTTTTATATTGTTCTTGAATTGCGTGTGTGATATATATATATGTATGTCAATTTTCACAGATGCGAAAAAATTATAGTTTCGTAATAATATTTAATTTTTTTTCGTTTTTTTCAATTTTGCGACCGATTTACTACCAAAAATTAAAATTTTAAATTTACAATTTACGACCGAATTTTAAAATTGCGACGGATTTTTTCTGCGACCAATTTGCGACAAAGTTTCCAAATGAAACACGACCAACATTTTGGACCGATTATTCAAGTTTGCGACCGATTATATCGGTCGCTAATTTGCGACCGAAGAGAACATCGGTTGCAAAAAGCTTTGCGACGAGCGATTTTGCGACCGATATATATCGGTTTCAGATCAGTCGCTAATTGAAATTAGAGACCAATTTTTGGCATTTTGCGACCGATTGGTCTGTCGCAAAATGCCGATTTTTTTGTGGTGTTTGATTCGAGTTTAATCCAATTTTTCTCCCTCTTACTCAAATCAATTGTAATTATTAGCTTTAGGTAAAGAAAAGAATTAATCATTCATTTTTCTAAACGAGGGCATTTCATTGTATCTATAAAGATCTAACTCTTTTCATATAAAAAAATTCGAATCGGTAAGAATGACAAAGGTATATGAAATAATAGTCATTTTATTTTTAATTTAAAAGTTTTTTATAGTCCAAAATATTGCGGCCAAAAAAATTAGTTGAGGAAAATAAAGGGGAATGATCATTTTGCATTGTTCAAAATTAGAGAGAAAAATTAATTAAAAATGAACTAAATTTTGTTCCGCTCACAATATACAAATCTCTTTAAATTAAATAGAAAACGAAACGCAAGCTATTAACCAGTGGATCTGGCGATGCGGGAGTAGGATGGCTGGTTAGAGATGGCAAGGGGAGGTGTGTTGGTGGCCGACTGCAGAAGCTGGATAGGGTGGTGAGTGCTCTGATGGAAGAGACGACAGGGATCAAGGAAGCTCTAAGTTGGTTGAAAACACGATAACAAAATATTCCGTTGACGGTGGAGAGTGACAGTTCTTGGTCATTCAGGCGTCAAACACAAGTCAATATTAATTTTATTATGTTAATTATTACAGCTGATTGTAAAACTTTTTACTAAAGAGTCCAGGCACCCACATGGCGACCGGACCTGAAACAAATCTTCACCGTCGTAACTTCATAATTTTTGGTGCTCTATTTTAACTTTATTTACGAGAAAAATACTTAATTTTCTTCTTCTTCATTCTTTTTAAGTTAACCATGTTAGACTATGAAATTTTCTACTCCCGTCTCATTTTATTTGTATGACTTGAAATAATATGCATATTAAGAATTTAGCCAACAAAAGTTATTTTACAATTTTTTACCCTTAACTTCAAGAAATTGAATATTTCTAATAATGTAACTTTTCATGAATATAATTCTAGAAATATTAAATCATCATATTTCGCTGGCAATAAAAAATTTCAAGAAAGGAAAATATATATATATATATATATATACTGCAAGAAATTAATTTACATGTCTGTGATGCTCTCCTATGATGGCACATTTATATATAAAGGACTTTTTTTTTTTTTTTTTTTGAAAAAGGATATATAAAGATTTTGAGAAAGTGTTGACATCCAAGATTGGAATTTTATATATAATATATATATGTATATTATCTATTCAGTTATTTAATTATTTTTAGAAAGTCAAGTCTACATTTATATGTATAAATTAATATTTTCACTCTAAGCAACAAGCACATGCCAATAATTATATTTTGAGTAACTATGTCAATTTGAACACTTTTAACTTTTCATAAGAATTAAAAAAAATATTGAACAATGCTTAAGTGATTTTTTTTACTCTAATTTTTTTTCAACGATTATTTCTTTACTTTTTTAATATGAGCGTATTCTCGTTTTAAATTTCAATGTCTTTCTATAATTTTTTTTTTTTTTTTTTTTTTTTTTTTTTTTTTTTACAAATCGAACCTCTAACCTTAATAAGAAGAATAGACAATTTTTTTTCTTAAGTATATAATAATTATATAATTATTCTATCCACAATTGAGCAAATTGAACAAATTCACCGTATAATTCTACAATATTTTGTCTAACTTCATGCAATACTATATTTATATTAACACTATCTTCTATATGAAGATTTAATAATTTATAATAAATAGTCGAATATTCAGATAAAATTTCAATTTTACATCTAGGATCAAACACACAAGCAACAAAATAAAGGGGTGGTATATTTTTAAAATAAAATAACCAATTTTTTTTCATTGAAATAACGCAATCTTGTAATAAGAGTTCTTTTTATAGTATTTCTTGGTACTCTTTTAGCAGAAGGATTTAAAGCTTTTTGACAGTATTGATTAAAACCTACCTTTTCACCAAAACTAAAAGATCAATGTTCCATAGAAATCATTTTTGCTAATTCTTCTTTTTGTTGTTTTTTAGAATATTGAAATAAAGAAATGTTAAAAGATGCGTACCTGGATTGTTTGAATTTATAATATTTTTCACAATAATTGCAAATTACATCGAATATTTTGTCACCTTTAAATTTCTTCTTGAAATGAATGGCGAATATGTCGGAACTTTATCTTGCTCTTCAAAGAAGTTGTGTACCTTACTCTTGCTCTTCCTCTTGTTGTAATTGCTCATCATTAAATTCAAATTCTTGAGTTGAAATTTTTAAATTTTCATTTGGATACCACTCAAGATTATATTGGTTGGGAGTGAAATCAAAGATGTCGTTTGTAGGGATAGAAGAATATTGCGTTTTTCCAATCGTTCCCTTGCCCTTAGCGGAACTTGATTTTCCTCCGCTTGCCATTTAGGTCTTCGGTTCCAATTCTAGTTTGGACCGGTTTTGATTCCAGTTCAGACCGGTTCCGGTTTTGAGAACCATAATTTGGCAATGTCTATTTCTTTCTAACTTCAATTCTGATGGAATACGAGCTCCCTCTTAATACTCTCGAATCATATAGAATGTAAAGGTTTTTTTATCCTTTTATCAAGTGCGCTTCTTCTCCATCTCATTTAATAATGCAAGCAAAATTAATGATTGAAGGCATAAAAAATTTCTGAAGGTAGAGGCATATTTATATATATAGCCTTTCAACTTCTTTTAGTTAGAAAAGGTAGAAGAAAAACTTCAAAACACAAAACTTACAAAATAAAGTTAAAACAAACCTTGTTCATAATATTATATTGAACTCTGAAAAAACTTTTTTGCCTAAACCTGCCGTTGAATAAGCACCTCAGGAGCATTGATGGTCTCTAAAATTACACCTATCAATCTCAAGATGCAAGAATTATTACCAAAAATTACAACTTTAGGAGGCATACAATGAGTCACTCGAAAATTTTGTGGTGCTACGAAAAAATCCTAAAAATCTGGACAACTTTATGCAAAAGTCTAATATTTTGAAGAGTGAAAAATAAGATATATATATCAAATAGTATCAAATAGCAATTAAGTACGGTTTATTTGACAGTAATTTCACAAAATGCATAGTACATCATCCACAAATTTAAAATTAAAATTCAACCTGCTCTTAATTTATTTTCTTACGCATTTTATATGTATGCTCTTAATTATTTAGAAGTATAGTATACATATAAATAATAACGTGCTTCTTCTCTCTAATTTAGCCACTAATTAACTGCAACAAAGTCTTCAGATTCTTAGCAGCAACAGAATCAGGACCATCAGCTTTGATCAAAACTTGTTTAAGTTCATCACATGCCTGTCTCATTTTCTTCATTTTTTCCTGCTCAAAAACCATTTCCAAACACTTAACCATTCTATTTTTAGTGATAACTCTATCTTCAACTCTCACTCCAATCCCCCACACCTCCTCCGCAATTTTTGCATTTATATGATTATCTGCCCAAACTGACCTACAAATCACTGGCACTCCACCCAATATACTCTCCTGCAATGAATGATATCCTCCATGGTTTACAAACACACCAACTGAACCATGTTGCAGAATCTCTCTCTGTGGTGCCCAAGAAACCACCATTCCTTTCTCTTTTGTTCTTTCAAGAAACCCTTCTGGAAGATTTTCTTTGCATTTGTCTTTAAGAGACCAGAGAAATGGCTATAATCAACTTGATTCAAGCTAATGCATTAACTCCCACTACCACAATTTAAACTAGTTGTCGTTCCAAAAGATACATAGACAACAGAACCAACTTTTTGTCTATCGAGCCATGAAAATAAACAACCTGCAGAAGTAGAACTACCATCATTCTCCTGTGTAATCGATAAAGTTAAGCAACCTATGTAGAGTAAGTTCTTAACTTTTGATTTTAGATAATTTGTGAGAGGAATTGGGTTTAGTTCTTCATAGGCATTCAACAGAAGAGCTTTTGCTTGTGGTAGTTTTTGTGCCATACGATATAAATATGGCACAAGTTCATTACTTGGCTTGCTTAAATGTATTTCATGGGGTAAATCTTTAAAGGGTAGAGAAGATAACCCAGGAATAACATCTACATGATCATTTTCGCTTTTAGCATTAGCGAAAAGCTTTTGAATTTTATCCATTTCAAAATAGCAAACAAGATCATATGGATGAGGTACCATAAAGGCTTGGAACATTCATATCCTCCGCCATTTTTCCAAGCGGAGAACAGAGAGCAGCATCCGTCATTATGCAAGTAACTTCCCGCCGGCTACCGGTTGTTCTCTCGGTGTCCGCCAGCACTTCTTCAATACGGCGTTCGAAGTTGTACGGTAACTGTTCGAAGAAATACCTGGCTTCCACGGCATGATCTATTGTTAAGTGATTAACTCCTTCCGGAATGCCATCGTCTACGTCGTAGGACATAAGGTTAGTTGGTAATGGAGAGTTCTTTTGATCTTTTGAGATGACTTGATAATGGAGTTTGTTTTCGGTAAGCTGAAGAAAGAAAACTGAGTTTGAGGAGCTTCTGTGGCTAATTTACGAACTAAGTTGAAGAAAGCGAATGGATGGCTGCTAAATGGAAATGTGCACACAGCTACATGACTTGCTGCTATTTGTGGGGATGAGCTTTGGGTTAATGGCATTGTGAAGAGAGATTAGGGAAATAAGAAAGAAAGATTTTTTCTTTTCTTTTCCTTTTGGTTTCGCTCTTGGTTTTTGTTCTTGTTCGAAATGGTGTTGATTGAATTTCATACAGGGATATATATTCTGTAGAAGCTAACTTTCTCAACCTCCGTTCGTTAGTTTGAGTTAGCAAAGATGAACTTATAGTTAAGGTACTCAACTCTATTATGAATTTGCTGAGCAACCTCCATAACTGCATACCTAACTAATATGAATTAAACTAAAAACAAGTTTTTTTTATGCAGGTGCATATTAACGTGTTAAATAGTAGCAATCATAATCCATGAGTAGTTCTGACCCAAAAGATTCGATTTTCATAGATGAATGTCACTGCTCCTTAATGGGGCTGACTTGATTTGAGCAGAATTTAGTCCTAATTTAGTTGACTAGAGATATCTATGATTATACTAAAAAAAAAAAGAGTAATTAATTGTATGAGACAAATAATATTACTAAAGAAAGCTTGATCTTTTAAGCAATATTCAGGTGTGAATGGAGAAAACTGAGTTGAAAGGATCACCTCCATAATGGCCCTCTGCAGAATCTGAATCCGGATTAGTCGGCTGTGCCGGATACCCGGTGATTTAAAAAAGTAGAAGAAAATTTATAATACTTTTTGTGTTCGTTTATAATATATATATATACTTTTTTTCTTTGTGTTCGTTTCTACGTTTCTATATTTTCATTTTCATCCTATATAAAATGACATTATTTATAACTGATTTAGTTTTTGCTAAGTAGAAGAAAGAAAACAACCACAAAACTGACTCTTCTCTAATCCAACTCTTCTTTTACAAACTACCTATCAACATTGACTTATCCACAGCACACGCACTGCCCTAGAATGTGAGAGGGAAAGAGAAGGAACATTTTTACAAACTACCTATCAACATTGACTTATCCACAGCACACGCACTGCCCTAGAATGTGAGAGGGAAAGCGAAGGAACATTTTTACAAACTACCTATCAACGTTGACTTATCCACTGCACACGCACTGCCCTAGAATGTGAGAGGGAAAGCGAAGGAACATTCACTACTCATTGTTCAAACAACTAATTTATATATGACAGAATCTGCATGGTTTTATTCCGTAGGTGAAATGAGAAACTTCTCAGGTGGTCACCCATTTTAAAATTTTCGTTAAGCGAGCTCGCTTAATCTTGAAGTTCTTCCAACTCTTCAAACCATTTCACCAAAAGGCGCCTCTGTAGATTAGTTTCTCTCTTTTCGATATATGATTCGATTCATTTATGTCTCTCGCTATCGGGATATCACAATATAACACATTACAAACACACAATTGAACTGGCAAGAAAATCATTTGAAAGTGGCCAAAGAAATGGATCCATTTCTAACGAATGTTCTAAAACTCATATATAAGATAATTAATTTATAGCGGATGGAAAGATTTACTTACACTTGGTGTATTTAAGATAATTAACTTTTTTTATCAAGTCATGAAAATAAATAATTTAAATTAGTAATAGCACCATCTCAAAAAAAAAAAAAAAAAAAAAAAAAAAAAAAAAAAAAAAAAAAAAAAAAAAAAAGAATAAGAATAAAGAGAGAAACCAAAAAGAGAAAAAGAAAAATCTCTCATTTTTATGGTATCTCCATCACATGATCTTGTTAGTTATTTTTGAAGGGTTTGATTTGTTTAGACTCGATCTATGAGCGTACTCATTGAATAAAATATTTACCGGAAAAAGTTGTTTTTTGTTGAAAAAAAAGTGTAATTTTGCCCATTAATAGGGGAAAATAATGAAACTTACCAATAGTTACTAACATTCAAGCATGTGAAAGACTTGCTTGGTTTGCATACACTAAAAAATTATTCTAGAGATTAACTAGATTTGCTCACATGTTCCTTAAGTTTGTATTTTTATTTTTTTTATTTTTTGTGAATGGAATTTGGTCAATTTGTCTTCCATTTAAAACTATCCGTAAACGAGCCTTTTAACTAGTGATTCACTTCACGTGTGTGCATATATATAAATGAAAATTTCATTTTAAAACACTAAATGAATATGTTAAGAATTTCACATGGAGTAAATATCATGGTCTAGCGAAAGATTCAATCAGATTGGTTTGTACATGTATTCTCATGCTCTCATCATAACAACAAGACAAGTTGATTTCAATAAAAGGATATTAAAAACTTCAAAAACATCAGCAAAACTTGTTAATTTCTAAAACAATTTTGTTTTTAAAATGAGTAAGGTTCAATGAACTGAAATAATATTGTTAGAAATATAGTATGGGTAGTTATTCTCATTGAATAATTTTTACCATATGCCGATAACTTTTTATATCAGTGAGGACTCAGAACTCCAAACTTTTCACTCCCACGTATCCTATGAGATGTGAGAAACCTAACTAGAATAAACACAAATTTGTTAGTATATAGTAACCACGCAGTAAATTGCTGGTATAGTTTTTAGCATGCTTGAAGGTTTAGTAAATATGAAGTTCATTTTGCCTAGTTAAATTGATAAACCCACAGATGAGAAAGTCAAGTATTAGAGATCCCTCTATAAAACTCAATCAACACCATTGCAAAAAAGAATAAGAACTGAGAGAGAAACCAAAAGAACGAAAAAAAAAAAAAAAAGAAATCTCTCTTCAAAAAGCCACTAGCCAAAAGTTCATAACCACATGTAGCAGCATGTCATGTAGCTGTGTGCACATGGCCATTTAGTAGCCATCCCTTAGCTTTCTTCAACTTAGGACGTCAATTAGCAACAGATGCTCCTCAAATTCAGTTTTCCTTCTTCAGCTTAGCAAAAACCAACTCCATTATCAAGTCATCTCAAAAGACCTTTCTTCTACTAACCAACCTCAAGTCCTATGATGTAGACGAAGGGATTCCAAAAGGAGTTGATCATTGGACAATAGATCATGGAGAGGAAGTCAAGCATTTCCTCGAGTAGTTACTGTTAAACAAACTTTAATACAGATCTTATTGTTCATAGAATTTGTTTAATATGAATACACAATAAGCGGAAGCATACCTTGATCCATAGCTATTGATTATCGCATTGCGGCAATTCGATTCTCACCGTAACATTATATCTATGTTTCTTCACTCTGGCCTTTTGTCCGTGAATTCTCTCTTAATGGTCAGAGAGATATCAACAGCAACAGGAGTTTTCTTTTTCACGCTCTCTCAAATGACTTATCACCGCTATGTGTTTGAGGTATCCGTCACACTCTTGTAACCTACGCTGTTGATTTCCTTGATCTTTTATAAGGTAGAGGAAATGTATTAAAAACCCTAACTGGTCCTCATCCTATTAAGCCTAATAACCATCATTTTGGGCTACTTTAATTAGAATCAGCCCTTTAATTACATGACCATTTAGATTAAAATAATCTAACAATTACCCCATAACTTCGAACGTCGCAATGATGAAGTGGTAGCGGACTCCGAGAAAACCACCGGTAGTCGGCGGGGAGTGACTTGCATAATGACAGATGCTGTTATCTGTTCTCCGGTTGGAAAAATGGCGAGGATATGGATATTCCATGGATAGCCTTTACAGTACCTACACCATATGGTCTTGTTTGCTATTTTTAAATGGATAAAATTCAAAAGCTTTTCGCTAATTCTAAAAGCGAAAATGATCATATAGATATTATTCCTGGATTATCTTCTTTACCCTTTAATGATATAGCTCATGAAATATATTTAAGCAAGCCAAGTAATGAACTTGTGCCATTTTTACTATGCATGGCACAAAAACTAGCATAAGCAAAAGCACTTTTGTTGAACACCTATGAAGAATTAAACCCAGTTTCTCTCACAAATTATCTAAAATCAAAAGCTAAGAATTTACTCTGTATGGGTTGCTTAACTTTATCGATTACACAGGAGAATGATGGTAGTACTGCTACTTCAGCAGGTTGCTGTTTATTTTCATGGCTTGATGGTCAAGAAGTTGGTTCTATCGTGTATATATCTTTTGGAACAGTTTAGAATTGGGTAGTGAAGAGTTAATGGCATTAGCCGAAGCAATTGAATTTAGTGGTAAGCATTTCTTTGGTCAATTAAAGACAAATATAAAGAAAATCTTCCAAAAAAGGGTTTCTTGAAAGAAGTAAAGAGAAACGAAAGGTGGTTCCTTGGGTTGCACAAAGAGATGTTCTGCAACGTGTTTCAATTCGTGTGTTTGTAAACCATGGTGGGTATAATTCTATGCGGGAGAGTATATTAGGCGGAGTGCCAATGATTTGTAGGTCAGTTTGGGCAGATAATCATATAAATGCTAAAGTTGCAGAGGAGGTATGGGGGGTTGTTGTGAGAGTTGAAGGTAGGGTTGTTGCTCAAAGTGGAATTGTTAAGTGCTTGGAAATGGTTTTTGAGCAGGAAAAAGAGAAGAAAATGAGACAGGCTTGTAATGAACTCTTTTCATATAAAAAAATTCGAATTGGTAAGAATGACGAAGGCATGTGAAATAATAGCCATTTTATTTTCAACTTAAAAGTTTTTTATAGTCTAAAATATTGCAACCAAAAAAATTAGTTGAGGAAAATAAAGGGGAAGGATCATTTTGCATTGTTCAAAATTAGAGAGAAAAATTAATTAAAAATGTACTAAATTTTGTTCCGCTTGTTGGTTTAGGTGGCTTAGAATCCCACATCGGGAAGATGGGAAGGGAGTGGAAAGCCTTTTGCCTATAAAAGGAGCCTACCACCTTAAGTTTTAATCGTCCCAACTTGTCTTCCAATACCTAGTGG